AAGAATGCAGGTTAGGATCTTTCCTGGTAAGTCACGAGCTCGTGGTGGCATACAGATTATTAGATATGGGTTAGTCAATATGTGAGTGTTAGCTAATAAGAGGCTACAGATAATGGACCAGCAGTGTTTAAAAAAATACAGTTTCCATGTAATTATTTCACGTAAAGCAAGCCGGGTGGGCAGTAGGAAGTGGCCTGCGCTCATTTTACACTACTTCCCACTTTCTCTTCTATCAGATTCAGTGTGGTCAGATTAATATTGAGGTCTTTAATCCATTTGGACTTGAGTTTTGTGCATGGTGATAGAAATGGATCTACTTTCATTCTTCTACAGGTTGACATCCAGTTATGCCAGCACCATTTGTTAAAGATGCTTTCTTTTCTTCCATTGTAGAATTTTAGCTCCTTTGTCAAAAATCAGGTGTTCCTAGGTTTGTGGATTAATATCTGGGTCTTCGATTCAGTTTCATTGGTCAACATCCCTGTTTTTGTGCCAGTACTAAGCTGTTTTCATTACTGTAGCTCTGTAAGAGTTTGAAGTCAGGGATGGTAATGCCTCCGGAAGTACTTTTATTATATAGGATTGTTTTGGCTATCCTGGGTTTTTGTTTTTCCATATAAACTTGATTATTGTTCTCGCAATGTCTGTGAAGAATTTTGTTGGGATCTTGATGGGGATTGCATTGAATCTATAGATTGCTTTTGGTAGAATTGCCATTTTTATTATATTGATTCTCCCAATCCAAGAGCAAGGGAGATTCTTCCATTTTCTGGTATCATCTTCAATTTCTTTCTTCAAAGACTTAAAGTTCTTGTCAAATAAATCTTTCACTTCCTTGGTTAGAGTTACCCCAAGATACTTTATGCTATTTGTGGCTATCGTGAAAGGTGATGCTTCTCTGATTTCCCTCTCTGTATCTTTGTTCTTTGTGTATAGGAGGGCAACTGATTTTTTGGGTTGATCTTGTATCTTGCCACATTGCTAAAGGTGTTTATCAGCTGTCGGAGTTCTTTGGTAGAGTTTTTGGGGTCGCTTATGTACACTATCATATCGTCTGCAAATAACGAAAGTTTCACTTCTTTCTTTCCAATTCGAATCCCCTTAATCTCCTTATGCTGTCTTATTGCTATTGCTAGAACTTCAAGCATTATATTGAAGAGGTATGGAGAGAGTGGACAGCCTTTTCGTGTTCCTGATTTTAGTGGAATGGCTTTGAGTTTCTTTCCATTTAATTTAATGTTAGCTGTCATCTTACTGTATATTTCTTTTATTATATTTAGGAATGAACCTTGCATCCCTATTCTCTCCAAGACCTTTATCATAAAGGGGTGTTGAATGTTGTCAAATGTTTTTTCAGCATCTAATGAAATGATCATATGTTTTTTTTCTTTCAGTTTATTTATATGATGGATTACATTGATAGTTTTTTTTATGTTAACCAGCCCTGCCTCTCTGGGTTGAAGCTTACTTGTTCATAATGTATAATTTTTTGGATGTGTGCTTAGATTCTGTTTGTCAGTATTTTATTGAGAGATTTTGCATCGGTGTTCATGAGTGAGATTGGTCTGTAATTCTCTTTATTGGTTGTGTCTTTGTGTGGTTTTGGTATCAGGGTGACTGTAGCTTCATAAAAGGAGTTTGGCACTGACTCTTCTATTTCTATATTGTGAAACACATTAAGGAGTATAGGTATTAGCTCCTCTTGGAAGTTCTGATATAATTCTGCATTGAAACCATCTGGTCCAGGGCTTTTTTTGGTAGGGAGGTTTCTGATGACAGCTCCTAATTCCTCGCGACTTACAGGTCTATTTAAACTGTTCACCTGGTCTTGATTTAATTTTGGTATATGGTACTTATCTAAAAAGATGTCCATTTCTTATTTATTTTCCAATTTTGTGACATGCAGGCTTTTGTAGTAAGATCTAATGATTCTCTGAATTTCCTCTGTGTCTGTGGTTATGTCCCCCTTTTCATTTCTGATCTTATTAATTTGCATGCTCTCTCTCAGCCGTTTGATTAGTTTTGTCTTGGCTAGGGGGTTTGTCAGTCTTGTTGATTTTCTCCAGGAACCAGCTTTTTGTTTCATGGATTCTTCGGATTGTTTTCTGTGTTTCTATTTCATTGATTTCAGCTCTCAGTTTGATTATTTCCAGTCTTCTACTCCTCCTGGGTGAGTCTGCTTCTTTTTTTTCTAGAGCTTTCAGGTGTGCTGTTAAGTCTGTAATGTGTGCTTTCTCTGTTTTCTTTATGTGGGCACTTAGTGATATGAACTTTCCTCTTAGCACTGCTTTTATAGTGTCCCATCGGTTTGGGTATGATGTGTCTTTGTTTTCAATGAATTCAAGGAAGACTTTAGTTTCTTTCTTTATTTCTTCCTTGACCCAGGGGTGGTTCAGTAGTTGACTGTTCAGTTTCCATGAGTTTGTAGGCTTTCTGGGGTTAGAATTGTTGTTGAATTCTAGCTTTATTCCATGGTGATCTGATAGTACACAGGTGGTTACTATAATTTCTTTGTATCTATGAATGTTTGCTTTGTTACCAATTATGTGATCAATTTTTGAGAAGGTTCCATGAGATGCTGAGAAGAAGGTATATTCTTTTCTGTTTGGGTGGAATGTTGCCTGTTAGGTCCATTTGGTTCATTACATCTGTTAGTTCTCTTATTTCTCTGTTAAGTTTCTGTCTGGTTGACCTATCCATTGTTGAGAGTGGAGTGGTGAAATCTCCTACTATTAGAGTGTGTGGTTTAATGTATTCTTTGAGTTCTAGTAATGTTTCTTTTACATAAGTGGGTGCTTTTATATTAATGGCATAGATATTCAGGATAGAGACTTCCTCCTAATGAATTGTTCCTGTTATGTGTATAAAGTGTCCATCTCCATCTCTTCTGATTGATTTTAGTTTCAAATCAATTTTGTTAGATATTAGTATAGCCACACCCATCTGTTTCTTTGGTCCATTTGATTGGAAAATCTTTTCCCAACCCTTTACTCTGAGGTAGTGTCTGTCTTTAAGGTTGAGGTATGTTTCTTGTAAGCAGCAGAATGTTAGATCCTGGTTTCGTTACCATTCTCTTAACCTGTGCCTTTTTATAGATGAATTGAGTCCATTGATATTAAGTGATATTAATGACCAGTGGTTGTTAACTCCAGTTATTTTTTTCTGGTGGTAGTGTTTGTGTGTTTCCCTTCTTTGAGTTGTGCTGGTGGAGGGTTGTCAGATGCTTGTGTTATTATGGGTGTTGTTGATTTTCTTGGTTTGTGATTTTTCTTCTAGTATTTTCTGTAAGGCTGGTGTTGTGGCAATGTATTGTTTAAATCTGTTTTTGTCCTGGAATATCTTTTATTCTCCATCTATGGTGAATGCAAGCTTTGCTGGATATAGTAGTCTGGGCTTGCATCCATGGTCTCTTAGTGTCTGCAGTATATCTATCCAAGACCTTCTGGCTTTCATGGTTTCCATTGAGAAGTCAGGTGTAATTCTGATAGGTTTCCCTTTATGTGTTACTTGACCTTTTTCCCTTGCAGCCCTTAATATTTTTTCTTTATTCTGTATGTTTTGTGTTTTGATTATTATATGGCGAGGGGATCCTTTTTTTTGATCCAGTCTACTTGGTGTTCTGTATGCTTCTTGTACCTTCATAGGAATATCCTTCTTTAGGTTGGGAAAGTTTTCTTCTATAATTTTGTTGAATATATTTTCTGGGCTGCTGAGTTGTAACTCTTCTCCTTCTTCTACCCCTATTATTCTTAGGTTTAGCCTTTTCATGGTGTCCTAGATTTCCTGGATGTTTTGTGTTAAGAATTTGTTGGATTTATTTTGTTCTTTAATCAGTGAGTTTATTTCCTTTGTAGTATCTTCAGTGTCTGAGATTCTTTCTTCTACCTCTTGTATTCTGTTGGTAATTCTTGTCTCTGTAGTTCATGTTCGTTTACCCACATTTCCCATATCCAACCTTCCCTCAGTTTGTGTTTTCTTCATTACTTCCATTTCATTTTTCAAGTCTTGAACTGTTTCCCTTACCTGTTTGATTGCTTTTTCTTGTTTTTCTTGGGTATCTTTGAGAGATTCATCCATTTCCTCTACCTTTTTGTTTGTCATCTCTATTTCTTTATGGCAGTTTTTCACCTCCTGTTTAAGGTCCTCTAATATTTTCATAATCTTCCGTTTAAAGTTGATTTCTTCTATTTCTTCTGGAGTAGGGTCTTCAGTTCTTCTTGTTTCGTGATCCCTGGTTTCTGGTGATGTCAATTTGCCTTTCAGGCTGTTGGAGAAATTCTTGCATTGGCGCCTGCCCATCTCTTCCTTCTGATGGAGCCAGGAGAGTCTTGGTGTTTTGGTCCAGTCTGCTGTGACTGATTCTCTGGATGGATCTCCTCAGTGCAGGAGCAGGAACTGTTCCTGTCTAGATGGAACTCCTTAGCACATTTGTGTCTTATTCTTAATAACTGTGAAGGCTTTGGCGTCAACTTGGTAGCAGAAGAATCCACACCTGAATTCGACTGCTTAGGGAAAGCAGAATGGCTGTTTGCTAGAAATAGTCATATTTGTTAGATATACTCTTTCTCTGTGGGAGCAGAACACAAAGGTCTTTGGATATAAATTTAGAAAGCTACTTAGCATTAACTGTTGTATCTAGACATGTAGCAGGGTCGTTCTAAAGAATAGAAGTTATAAAACCCAGATAAACTATGGAAAAAACACTGCCTGCAGGCACTGGAGAACGGCCGACATAGACAGGATCTTTAAAGGTTCCTTTGCTTTTTTTATTTTCATTTTTTTGAGATGGGGTCTCTCTAGCCCTGACTGGCTCTTTTATCTGTGGGCAAGGATCTCTAAAGGTGATGGTCCACGAAGGAACAGATGTACACAGGGAGAACTCCATGTTTATTTTGGCTTTTTTCCCCAGAAATTCATTTTGTCATCATGTGGTGGAACAGAGTCCAGAAAGACAACGGTAGGTTCTTGTTTTTGTTTACTTTTCCTGCATCAGCAAGATGGTGGAATAACTTTGGCAGCACATGTATTAAAATTTGAACAATGCAAAGATTAGCATGGTTACTGTGCAAGGATGACACACAAATTCATGAAGTGGTCATATTTTAAAAGAGATAAAAGGTTGAAAAGAAACCCCATCTCTCATCCTTTGCAGAAACATTGATTTAACAACCATATACACAGTAATAGATTTTTATGAATGATACATAATCCAGTCAAATGATGCAGATCCCCCACAGAGTACAAAACAGGAAACAGCCACTCAGCCCGGTGGTAGGGGTGCACACCTTTAATCTCAGTTCTCAGGACGCAGAGGCAGACAGATCTCTGTGAGTTCAAGGCCAGCCTAGTCTACAAGAGCTAGTTCCAGGACAGGCTCCAAAGCTACAGAGAAACCCTGTCTCGAAAAATCAAAACAAACAAACAAACAAAACCAATCTCATTTGTCAGAATCACCCTTTTCTCCATAATAGCTAAGACAGAATTTCCAACAGTTGATCTATTCCACTAAAGCAACGTAAAATGAGTGGAATAAACTTAATATCTTTAGCATTTCTGGGCACTGCCCACGAGACATATTTTAACCCACTTTACTGCAACTGCTGAAGTTACTTGCATAGTTTAAAATTTCAGAGACCACTAAAAACAAAAGTAGTGGCAGCATACTGAAGTTTGCACAGCTCTTATGACTAAGAATGATCCAAAATCAAGACTTCTTTTCAGATAGGGTAAAGAGGAGTGTAACAGGCATCTAGTGTCTTACCCTCGCAGTATACTGTTTTAGAAGAAAGGCATGGGCAGTTCCCAGTGATCAGTAGTTCTACATGTTTGAGGAAGGATATATAGTCAGAGTTTTTTCTCAAAGAAGAGGAGAAGAACAGAGTATGTATCTTGTGCCTTGGTCTTTTCAATCCACTGCCCTAAGGTAAAGAAATGAATGATTTATGGTGGCTATTTATGGGTATGAACAATTAGAAGGAGATTGTTAGGAAGAATGGGGGAATAATACATATCCATAGAAAAGTTTTGAGAGGTTCCCAGATTTGTCAGATGGATTGATTAGTGAGAGCCTTTCCCCGTTTAAGCCAGTCCATAAACACCAAGGGAGGCAGTGCTTTTTTTTTTCATTTTGCTTATAGAAAAAGTCAAATTTAAAAGGAACATGAAGAGTCAGGTTATAAGGCGTTTCATAACTGGTGCTAGAAAATGAAATTCTATAAATTACCTGATAACAAATCTAAAATAATACCTTAAAAACAGTGAAATATAAGAAAATAGATACTGATAAGTTACAGTATGTGTCAACAGCATAATCAACAAGTAAATAGAAACCACAAGGTGTAGACAAAAATTTTTTGTCCTACCTGGTCCCACAACTGCTTAGCCCCAAATAAACATACAGAGGCTTATATTAATTACAAACTATTTGGCTTATTGCTCAGACTTATTATTAACTAGCTCTTAGAACTTAAATTAACCAATAATTCTTATCTATGTTTAGCAATGCATCTTGATACCTTTTTTCAGTAAGGCATTCTCAATCTTGCTTCTTTTTCGTCTGGCTGGTGACTGTGTCTCTGCCTTTCTTCTTTCCAGAATTCTTCTAGTCTTGTTGCCCCACCTATACTTCCTGCCTGGCTACTGGCCAGTCAACATTTTATTATACCAATATGAGTGACAAATCTTTACAGTGTCTTAGGACATTATCCCACAGCAACAAGGGAAAAGTAAAAGGGAACCTAACACAAATTCTGGAGTTGAACAATATCACCTAAATTGAAATATTCAATAGAATAACATTCTTGATATAACAAGAGAAATAATTGGTGAACTCAGAGGTAGATCACCTGCAATGATCCATGCATGGGACAAGGAGAATAAGAGAAGAGAGCCTTTGAAGTTTTTGGGACATTATATGCCATATGGAATTACCAGAAGGAGAAGTGAGAGAAATAGAGAAGAATTTGAAAGAAATAATGACTGAAGACTTTCCAAATCTAAGGAGGGAAATGGACATCAATTATCAGAACCCAAAGCACACTATTGAGATAAAATTAAAAATGCATGTTATAACCTGATTGTCACAAGTCAAAGACAAACATCTTGAAAGCAACAAAAGAAAAAGGAACTTGTATACAAGGAAGCTTTATACAATATGGCAGATTTCTCAGTAGAGACTTTTCAGAATAGAAGGGAATAGAATGATGAATTCCGCATACCAATAGGAACATACTCCTTAGCAAAAATATTGTGTCCAGTAAAATGACCCTTTAAAGATAGAAATATTTTCCCATACAAATAGTAGCAAAGGTAATTTATTGTTAGTAGACTTGCCTAGAAAGAAATACAAGGAAAGAATTCTTTAAATTGTAGCAAAAAAGGTGATTGCTATATGGTATAAAAGAAAATGAAAATATAGAATTCATGGGTAAAGCCAAAGATCTAAACATGATGACATGGATATTATCAAGGTAGTATATAAATCACTTGTAGTTTTAATATAAATTAAAAGACAATTATTAAGAGTAATTATAGTTGCAAAATCAGGGAATACATGCTGATACTAGTTGTGATGTCAGTGAAAAATTTGGGGAAGGAATTTTAGAATTTTTGTATGCATTTAAAACTATAAACTTACAAACCGAGGAAAATGCTCATCAGATAGCATGAGAATCCCTGGCTTCAAATCCCTGGCACCTATATAAAAAGCTGGAATGGTTATATTCACGTATAAGCCCTTTGCTGCCTGGGATAGACAGGAGGATCTCTGGAGCCTGTTATCTTATAGAAACCTTGACTTAAGAGAAAAAGGTGGAGCTTGATAGAGGAGGACACCTGGGGTCTTCTTCTGGCTTTCATAAGTGCTCATTACTCCCCGCCCACATATGTATATGATCCCTTCTCTTTCACACACCCACACCCACACGCACACACATATCATATCAACTTAGCATAAATTTATAAGATGCCTTATGTGTCATGAAAACCACAAAGAAAATATGTACAGAAATTTAGAATTGGTCTAGGCTAAATATAACTTTGTAATAAAGTGGCCGTCCCTACCACTGGAAAATATCAGAGAAAAAGATAGAGGAAGATTATTATAGTTCTTGGAGGACACTACTCTGGCTTAGATGCAGATGTTCATTTTTTCCTTTTTTTCTTTTTTTCGAGACAGGGTTTCTCCATGTAACAGCCTAGCTGATCTGGAATTTACTTTGTAGACCAGACTAGCCTCACACTCTTAGAGATCCACCTGCCTCTGCCTTATGAGTGCTGAGATTAAAGGTGTTTGCCACTACTCCTGGCTAATTTCCTAATAGCGTGTATGTGCACACATATTATAGATAAAAAGAATATGTGATTATTTCAAGTAAGGATGTAGTCTCCATTCAGGGAAATGTGCAGTTTGGAAAGGGATATGTTTTTAAGAAGATATAACATACTGCAGTCTTGAATGTATTAAATTTGAAGAGTTGCATATTTAAATGGAGTTGTAAATTAGGCTTTTGTCTGGATATGAAGTTGTATAAAGTTAGAAGTCACCAGTTTTCTGTTAATTTAAAGCTAAGGATCTGGTTGAAACCAAGGAGTTAATGTATCTAGAAAGGAAGTGAAGACAGATTCTTACAGTTCAGTTCCACACTCAGAGTGATATGAACAGCAGAAATTGAAGTCAATGAATCATTGAAAATTTTAAAAGAATATGCAAAATTGGGGGTTGGGAGATAAGGCTAAATTTGTGAGTTAAAGTTTGTGTGTGTGTGTGTGTGTGTGTGTGTGTGTGTGTGTGTGTGTGTTTCAATTGAGAATCTATTGCTATAAACTAATATCTTATATGGCAAAACTCAAATCCTGGTCTTGATAGAAAAAGCACCAGGAATAAGATCAAGATATGTTTTATGAAATTCTTAAAGAATTTAAAAATATTTTTTAAAAGCAACAACAACAATCCTTCTCATATTGATGCTGGCCCTTTAGAGCTATCTAACCCAGTGTTTCCTCATTTTATAGTTAAGTAATTTTATCTAGACACAGAAGTCTTTTTTGGGTTCATCTCCTGAGAGTGGTATTGATGTAGAACTGTATGATGGAGAAATGATGGAAGAAAAGGGTATATTATTGAATCTACTTTTCAAAAAACAGCTGCTACTCTCAAAATATTTTACATTGGTATAGATTTTAGTTTATTGATATAAATTTAGGTCAATTTTATTATACTGTATGTATATTTCTACTCTTGTTTAAGGTATTATATTTATGCAGCTCATTTAGAAATGTTATTGTATAGTTAAGAAATAAGAGTAATAGTTATATATAATAGTCAAGCTTACAGGCATGTTTATTAGGTATTTTAGGTATACATAGATATATTTCAGATAGATAGGTAATCTTCAAACACTTCAAAGACCTACAGAATATATAATTTGAAATGCTTTAAGAACTTAGATCTTTCTTGACTGTGAGACACATTTGCTCCTGGCTGCACCAGTTACTTCAAAGAGGATGTTGGGCGTCGAAGAAACTCCTTATAGAGTCTACTTCCATTGTTGCAAGGTTAGCTGTTGCAGATTATAATAAAATAATCCCATACTTGCCCAGAATGGAGTATAATAAAGATTTCTTTATTTAGGGGTAACCTCATAGATCAGCAATCCTCTGCATGAATTGGGAACAGGAATTGAATACAGCAGCCAAGGGGCCCACACATCTTTTTTGTCTGAGTTTATAGTATATGAGACCACGCCCAAAGTGGGCTGGTATCTTAAAGGCTATTTGTTGAAGGAGTTCTCACAGCACCTCCCCCTTTTGTCTAAATAAGAGAGTTCTAAGCCTAATACAAAACTATATACAATAAGAGCAAATATCAAGTATAAAAATTAGAATTACAGCCAGCATGGACAACATCAAGCAAGAAACATATGCTAAATGTTTCAATAGTTATCCTGTCCTAAGGTCCCTAAGTCTTGTATTAGAAATGGCTTGACTAAGTCAGGAGAGGAAAATAACTATGACTGTCTAGTCTTCAACTCCATCAAAGACCTGAGAAGGGAAATAATATTGCCTGAGCAAACAGGAAGCATAATCAAGCAACTTCCAAAAGGTGC